TTCTTGGGCTGCGGGCGCCGAGGAGGGCGGGGCACCGGGCGTGAAGGCCGCGCTCCCCCCGCTCCCCCGGCCCGGGCCTGGCTGTGGAGGCTCCGCTATTTCCCGGCGGCCACACGGCTTCCTCAGGATTCACAACGCGCCTTCCTCCCGTGTGTGAAAATCCGAAAGCAGTCGCGTGCCGGCTGGAACCGCTTCCGTCTGACACGTGGTTCACGGGGCCTGAGAGGCCAGCGGCCGGTGGGGACACCGACGGGCTCAGGCCGAGAAGGTTCGCAGGTTTTGAGCTAACAGCCGCGGCGCTAGGGGCCCAGCTGCGCGGGCTCTGACGTCTGCTGTCCCTTCAGAGCTCGGCTCAGACGTCATTTCCTCTGAGAAAACCTTCCCCAGCTCCCGCGTCCGGGCTGGACACCCCTCTAGGCTCCCGTAGGCCCCCCCAGCGTCGATGACCCCGCTGCCCACCTCTCCCAGGGAAAGGGTCATCTTTGCTGATCTTGTGGGACTTGGCATCGGCGCCATCAGAAGCCGGAAATAAATATTTGTAGACTAAACTTTCGTATGAATGAAGGATTTCTAATATTTACCTGTGTGAAAATATCACCCGGTTATGCCCTGAGGCCGGCAGCCCATGCGTAGAATCAATAGTCTTGACCTTCGTGGTCCTAACCTCGATTTCACTCTGCCGACGGGCCGTTGGGGGCGAGGCCTGCCGTCCCCGGCACACAGGGCAGGCCCGTCGTCCCGCCGGAGGGGGCGTGCGGGGTGATTGGCTAATTCTGCTGAGCTGTCCCTGCAGACCCGTGCCTGGGCCTTAAGTTCTTTATAACACCAGACATTTGGATGACAGGTTTTCTGATTTTTTTTTTTTCCTACCACTAAATACTGAGCCTCAATGCTTCCTAGAGTTTCTCAGCCTTGACGCCCCTGCGTGTTGTGCTGGATCCTGGTTGGTGAGGCCTGGACTGTGCCTTTCAGGCTGTTGAGCAGCCGATGCTGGTTGTCATGAGCACAGGGGTCTGTAGCCACTGCCCAGGGGCCCTGGGGGATCGAAGCCGCCGCCCGCGGGGAATCACGGGTGCGCGTTTGACCACGTACGTGAGCTGTGCTCAGTCAGGGTTTCAGACGGCCCCTCCCCAGGTTCCTTCATTGGCATGATGTAGAAATGCACGGCCTTCTTGCGTAATTGATCCTAAATTCCCCGGCACTCCTGTGGATTAAACAGCCCCCGTGGCCGAAAGTTGTTACGAAATGCAGGAGTCACGTGGGAGGGAGGCAGGTTCGGGGAGCTGGAAGGTCGCGGAGCAGGGAGAGGGAACAGGTTTCCTGCACGTGCCAAGTCCCAGCCCTGGGGAGAAGGGTTCTGAGACCCGAGTGGAGCTCAGCAGGAAAGGCGGCCGTGCTTGCCTGGCAGGGCCTGCCGCGGACTCGGGCGGAGCAGTAACGGTGCCGACTGTCCTGCCAGCCTTCCCAAAGTGCTGCCCGGAAGGGGGTCTGGGAGCTGATGGCACCGCCCGCTGAGGCTGGGGTTGCCCGGGGGAGACGGGCTCTCTCGCGACCCGCTGCTGTGTTCAGGCGAAGTCAGGAGCTGACAGAGCGTCAGTGTGCAGCCCAGCTGAGTCGTGTCAGCTGATCCTGAACGCGGGACGTCAGTTTCTGTCTAAAACCCAGACCTCCCCGCCGGGCTCTGACGTGCAGGAACGCTTCCAGAGCCTCTGGCTCCCGAGGCACCGGCCCCTCAGCCGGTGGCTTCTACGGGCTTTGCCGCTTTGCTTGTCAGTGTTTGGGTGGCCGTTGGAGCAGGCTCTGTAATTGCATCGCCAGAGGAGAGCATTCCCAGGTCCAAATAAAGACAGAAGGACGTTATCTACGAGCTTGGGGACAGCCTGTTCCTGAGACGATAGCATGGCTGGGCTTGGGGACCTGAGGTCAGCGGGGCCCTATCGGGTCGTGGGTGGCCGGAGGCATCTCCCGTCAGTAACAGGGAAAGCAGGCCTGGGATCTGGGAGGCTGGAGCCCACCCGCACCGATAACTCCGCGGGAAAGAGCGCCTGGGCTGCCCTGGGTCGATTTCATGTTACTTCAGCTCTGCCTTCCGTGGGGCAGCTACTGCACGAGACGCCGGCGAGAGAAACGAATCCCGGACGTCTCCCGTCGCTTCCTTTCCCGAGCAGTAGCAGCTGCAGTAAGCCTGGAGATCCTAGGCCTCTTGTCCGGTTGTCTCTGCAATTAAGGATCTTAAAACTTAAGCATTGTTGCTCAGTCGAGGATCCTTTCTGTGTGCACGCGGGTCCAAACGGTCGTGTCCGGACCCCGTGCCTTTGTATGGCACCCACGGCCCCTCTCTGCTCGCTCGTCCCCAAATCTTCCTAAAGTCCCCTGTATCGAAAGTTTTGCCCGTTTTACGCTTTAACCTCTGCAAAAACGTTTAGCTTTTTATTAGCAAAACTTAAAGCTTTGCTTAAGAAATACTACAAGCCATTCTTTTCTCTGATAAAACCAAAACAACATGCGTCCTGCTCTCAGCCTCCACTCCGCCTCCCCCTCCTTCACCTGTATCTCTCCCTCCCTCCCTCTCTCTCCCCATCTCTCCCTCCTCTACCATGGTCTCCGTCACCTCCCCATCTCTGTTCACCCCCTAACACCCCTCCCATGAGCATTAGGTACAAACACAGGTTTGAAAAATTGCGGCCCTGGAAAAGGCACTTGAATGAACATGCGCCAGCAGCGGCCACGAGATTATGCCTGATTTGCACGGGTTCCTGGGATGAATCTTCCAATAATGCCTCGACCTTGCTGCCCAGATTTAGAGGTCACAGTTTTGCAACAAGGGAACACCTGAACCCCCCCCACCCACCAATCCTGGTTTGGGTTCAGGTTCGGGTCCTAAATCTTAAGGAGATGATGGGTTTATCTCAGACCGGTCTCCACTTCAGTAATTAGCATTTAGAGGAGTCTGGAAGTTTGCAGAAGTTGGCGCAAGGAGAAGGAGAGTGTTAATGGGAAAGTAAGTTAGTCCAGGGAAGGGAGACAGGAGAAAGGAGGGAGACAGATGCGGGAGAGCTAATGGGGAGTTGGGCAGGAAGGCGAGGCCTCTCGCTGATCTGGGCTAACGCTCCGGCTGGCGCTCGGGACAGCTGTCAGCCTGTGGCCGCAGAAGTCCCGTGCCCGGAGCCGTGGTCGTGTACACGCTCCCTCCCGCCCTCTGGGTTGTCTGCTGCGGCCTGGTGATCAGCCGGAGGGGAGGCCTGATGGCCGGATACTTGCTCTGCTACAAAACGTCAAAGACGAGGCTGTTTCCCAAATGCCCCACGTGAGACTTTGGTAGGAATCCTGGGAGCTCTGAGGGGTTCTCAGAATGGCGAGCTAAGTTTTAGGGCGGTTGGCACTGTGATTCCTAAGATCTCATGACCATACGCAGTAGCATGGGTCAGTGCAGGGTTCACGGGACACGCGTGTGCACGCTGGGGGCCCACGGGGCCTGGGGTCCGTCCTCTTGGCTCAGGGGCTCTGCCTCACAAGCATGGGGCCCTCCGGTTCTGTGTTTCCCTTTCCCTTCAGTTTCCAGGTGAGGGCCATGGAGTCAGACTATTAAAAGACCTGCGAGGTTGCTTAGTGCAGTGGTTTTCAAAATTCCTTTTTTTTCCCCCTTTTACTTTTAATAGAGAGCTCAGAGCACTGTCTGTCCAGCTCCCATCGATTTTCCTGCAAGGTGGCCTCTGAGACAGTCACAAAAATATAGGCCTCCTGAGAACCTAGAAAACTATTGATCTTTTTAAAAAATTGAAACATATTTGACATGTAACATTGTATAAACTTAACTCGTGTTGCTTTGATACAGTTATATATTGCGATACAATTGCCATTG